AACCTAAATTGACTAGGCGCGCTTTGATCGAGATTGCAGACATAAGAATTTTAATGTTTTACTCGAAAGCATTCACAAACAAAATTAACCATTTTTTCGGTATAACTTGTTGCAACCGAACTTGGTTCGTTGGGGTAATTTGGAAAACTATTGGAATGGAAAAATTCGACTTTCACTTGTGCAAAGCGCGTTATCCAATCGATGGGCAAGCCACGATGCAAAAACATAGCTTAGGTATTTCAAATCTCGTCATCGGAAATGTCGACAAAATGAGTAATAAGATGAATTAGTGTTGATGAAAGACCCCACTCTTCATACAGTTGGTTTCCAACGGTACTATTTATTTATCCAGTGACCAAGCATACACAACTAGAAATAGTAAGTAGGTAACACTGCCAAGAACGAACCAACCAGCAAACTAACCAGGGACTTAGCTAGCGCATTCACCATTTTTGACATTGCTGGCACCGACGGACGCTATGAGGCTGTTAACGAAGCTTTGTTAGTAGGAGTACAGAAATGTGAAGAGGTGTTTGATGCAAAAGTTACATTATCAACACAGCTTGTTACAAGTTAGTAGATTATACAGGAAATTAAAGCACTCCGTTCCACTATTATTCAGTAGAGGACGCTGCTCATAGATGTCACCTGTCGGAGTCGGACGCTTTCTGAATTAATTGCTGCAAAGTTCCAAATGATGTAGGTCACTGTAGTTTTAGCTCATGATACTATTACTCGAGTATGATATTATGATTCTAGCTAGTGTCTCATAGGCGGCACCTTTTTATTTGTCATTAAATACACCATATTTCACATCTTTCCATGCTGATTATTTAGTAATATCTCAAAAATCAAATTCAAGCGGATAACCAAATGGAAATGGTATTTACCATTTTGGCTTGGTATTTACCAATCCGTTCAAGCGAGTGTAGTTATCAGTTTGGTTATAAGATCCGTGACGTCACGAATCAGCTGTTATATGTCATAGTTATCACCGCAAAATTGCAGCTTCATTTTTGAGAAAAATGATACAGGCTGACTTCAGTTTTACCATAAAGTGGAGCACCTTATTAGTTATACTCATTACGGTTGTTGAGGACACTTTAAATGTAGTTCCTATGCTTAACAAAGTATCCTGTGTAGCCATATACCACAAGAATATTAAAATATGGCCATATAAACTCACTAGATGATATCCACCTGTATACGGTTTTGCTAATATCTTTTTTCATCATTTCTGCTGAATCAATAAATGTTTTCTTTGACATGCGGAAAAATTTAGAGAATTGAAAGTTATCATAGCTACAAAGCCATGGTTCCATCATTAAAAAAAAATCTGAAAAAAACATTTCTCCCATGAATATTATCCTCCTCGGTTCCTGGGTATCACTGGTGATACCTCAGTTATTTGCTGCATATTTATCCAAATAGTTTTAAGTCGCGATCAGTTCCGAGCGTATCATATACGATACACTCGCGCGAGTCCAGTTTGCAGGCTGTAACTTGAATTCTGGTTATTTGCTTTGTAAAGCGAGCAAGTGAATGTCGCAGTAGCACGTGCTTTGTGTACCAGAATGGCGTTTAACGAAAACACAAGTAAGTAGATCAATTAAAATTATTATTTTTCCGTTGTAGATGACAAAAATATGTGAGTGAATTATTTATCATGTTCTGAATTTAAAATAAAATGTAAATAACATTTGCAGCGCGTATTTTAGGTTAGGTATCGTAGGTGATACCTTGAGTCTTAATAGTTACAAAATAAGCTAATAACACAAAATACATTTATTTATTTTGTATTTATTGAATACCATTTTTAGGGCCCCTTACTGCTGCCGAACTGCAGGAATTAGCAGACAATATGGATTTGAATGACTCGGATATAGATGATAACATTGATATCGGCGAATCGGGTGAGGAGCAGGAGGAGTTTTTTCAACAGCCTGACGTAACACCACAGGATGACAATTTCGATACTTCCGATGAAGAACCCTTGATAAACATTGTAAAGAGAATTAGTGATCGTTGTAGGTATAGACATAAAGAAGAATTTTATCCATCAGTAGTGAGAGAGTTTGTTCAAAGAACCAATGCAATATTTTTGCAAATATCTTGACGACGATTTTTTTGAAAATATTGCACATTTCAGCAATATTAGAGAAGTGAAAACTACCGGAAAATCTTTAGGAACTTCTTCTGCAGAGATCAAAAGGTTTTTTGGATGTTCTATGCTGATGGGCATCTACAATCTACCACGCATTAAAATGTACTGGGGTGTACAAACTAGAGTACCCATAATTTCTGAAAAAATGTCTCGGAATAGGTTCTTCGTTCTGAGATCGCGCCTGAAGCTTGTTGATGATGACATGGTCAGTAAAGAAGCAAGGGATCTAGATAGGTTTTGGAAGGTAAAGCCTATGCTAGAGAAAATTCAACGAGGTTGTCGTTCAAATATCAGAACAGAAAATGTGTCAATAGACGAACAGATGATACCTTTTCATGGACAAGTTAAAATGAGACAATTCGTAAGAGGTAAGCCAAATCCGGTAGGCCTCAAAGCTTTTGTTATGACAACACCACAGGGAATACCTTTAGATATTTTAATGTACGAAGGGAAGGGTACTTCAGTAGATTCCATACTTGTAGACACGCCAGAAAAGCTTAACGTCGGAGGGAGATATGTTTTAAAACTGGCCGATACACTACCAAAGGGAGTTTCAGTTTTTACGGATAGGTTTTTTACATCTATACCTTTGGTAGATTGTATGTTATCAAGATCCTTGACTGTTACTGGTACTCTAATGTCTAATAGAGTTCCTAAAGAGGCGAAATTCGAATCGGACAGCATTCTAAAGAAACGAGGCAGGGGCTCATCGGATCAATTAGTAAGACAAGACGAGAAGATGGTCCTAGTAAAATGGTTTGACTCTAGGCCAGTGCAAATGGCGTCATCTAAGTGTGGTTCTGAGCCTCTAGGAGAATGCAAAAGGTGGTCAAAATCTGACAATAAATACATACAGATTCCACAGCCAAACGTTATTAAGGAATATAACGCATTCATGGGTGGAGTTGACTTACTTGATCGGGTCATCGGAAAATATTGTATGAGGTCAAGGACAAAAAAATGGACAATACGTTTCATTTATCATTTTTTTGATTTTGCTGCTGCTGCTTCTTGGTTGGAATATCGTGAAGATGCCTCTTTAGCACGTCTTGAGAAAAAACAGATCATGGATTACATGGATTTTAAATTTGCTATTGCACAAGCACTTCTTTACAATTTGGAAGATAAAGAAAATGAAACATCAGAAGATGAAGAAGCTGTTGAAATTAAAAAGCCTAGGCTAGTTGAAGCACTACCTGCAAGAGGATTTAGACGAGAAAGCGCATTACATTTGCCTGAATTTATGAATGATAAGCAAAAAAGCAGGTCAAAATGTCGTTTAGCAGGATGCAAGATGTTAACTTTTACCAGGTGTACCGCTTGTAATGTTTTTCTATGCTGCAGTGTAAATAGAAATTGTTTTTTACTATTTCATAAGTAAATTTGCAGTTCTATGATATAAATTTGCTTTGTAACATTGAATTAATAAATTTACTTTTTTAACTTATCATTTCTTTAATATATTTTTTGTGTAGATGGAGATCCAAGGTATCATAGATGATACCTGGCATAAAACCAAAAATCTATTTTTGTTTCAAAAAATTTGCTTCGTTTGTGCCTTACTAGGTCCATTAGAACCCAAAATCACTATTTTTGCTAATAAGTCCCAGTTATCTGGCTCTTGGGTCCGAGGAGGTTATGAAAGGTTTCTTATTTAAGCTTTCCATATACAGTTGTAGACGAAAAAGCACCGATTATTAAGTGATAATAAAAATAATCAGAGATTATATACGCGCTTTTCTAAAATAAACAACTTGCAACAAAACCGCGGTCAAAACCAACGCGTTCAAGCGATTCGTGTAACTGACGTCATCAACCCGTGTGTCACCTTGAACCATATTATAACCGCGGTACATAACACAGAAATTTTGGTTATTCGCTTGGATTTGATTAAAGTTCACCATATCCGCACAGGACACATAATTCTAATAGATCTGTCAACGTCAAGTAGTCAGAGCTGTATTTTATTTTGTTCTTTTTTGTACGCTACATATTCATTTTGTACTGGCTAACAGCTCTTCTTCATTTGCTTACAAAAAAAAACCCTACAAACAGGTTTTACTAGGTTTACACCCGATTCACTATTGCAAACGTCGGAGACTAACTCAAAAGTGTCACTTGCTGATAAGCTGATCACCTCAGTAGACGTCAAGTCGTGATGGATACTCGTAATATAGGGTATAGAAATGAAGGTATAATACCACAGCCAGAAGCACAGCCCACAGCCTACACAGGTAGAAACGGTGAAAGCGAAAGCGCTTTTTTTATTTTAGCTGGATCCAGCCACATGCACCGAAGTATTGTAGCATTTTTAAATGATTTTAATCTTCAATTAGTCCTGTTTATGTATCTCATCTGGAATAATTTTCATTCCACTTATTCATTGCTAAAGCCCGATGATTTTACTATTGGGATAAAATTCGTTGATAGCACCGTGACAGCAACAAATTTACAACGGTAGTCAGAGAAGGTCCCCTATTCCAGGATTTTTTTAAGCGTGTGATGAAATTTTAGGCAAATTCTTTCTGGATTCTTCAACGAGAAATTCGTTAAGAGCAATTATAAGACAGTGTAAGATAATAGTACACCTACGCCTTACGCCTCTTGTCCATATATTTAATATGAACAAAATTTCTCCTGATTTATATTTGTTAGGCTCAGCTGTCTGTTACCTAATAGAAAATCTGCTAATAGTTCAAACTGTTTCTATACGGAATACAATTTTTTCTGTTAGAAATTATTACTAGAAGGACGCATGAGTAACAACACCTACGCGCAATCCACGTGCAATAGAGATGGGTTGTAAGATTTATTCTGCTGGCAGAATCGATTTGCCCATCCCTATCAACATTGACAAAAGCTGTTAAATCTTGCGTTCTTGTCTTGCATTGTCATTTGTCAGTTGAAATCTGCCAAGTAGTTTTTGTGATAAATGTGTAGGTGTTATGCCATAACTCCAAGGAATTTATATAATAAAAAAGCCTTTTTTGTGATCCGTGGAACGATCTCACTACTTGTAGCTGGACCACACGTCTTTTTCCGTTGCGAAGTTGATACCTAACCTCTGAAATCGAATGTACGTTTTAAACGCGTGTTTATAAACAGAGGCCACCATTTAACGCATTATCAACGACTGGAACATCTTTCAGGTTTTTTTGCACTCTGACGAAAGAATATGAGACGTGGGAAGCCCCTGCAACAGATATACAAACCAGGTAGCGGACCACTCAGGAAATCCAACAATGGAGTAGAAGAGCAACCAAGCTTTGAAGTATCTCGATTTAACGCGCCAAACAACTCGTTGTCGTCTGGTAATTCACGGAATACGTCGGAAAGCAATTCTCCAAGAGATACTACAGCAGCACTTAGGGGGTAATACTACATGTTTTGATCTTCTCAGTTCTTGAGCTTTCCCTGTGATGCAATACTCAAATGTTTAGTCTCTCTATATTACCAGTAAAAGTTTGAATATTGATACTTGGTTCATCAAGACAAACTTGATCATAACTTGAAACTGTTCATTTTTATGAAGGCATTTATCTTGACCTGTGTCTGGCTCTAGGTTCTAATGAGTTAGGGTCTGCATGAGCTGAGTCTATTTTGTAGATCAGCTTGTGTTTGTGAACTTATTTTTACCTAGGTTTGTAGCTGTGCTTGTGATAAGTAAATCAAATGCACATTTTTACCTGAATTTTAATGTAACATCTGGAAGTTGTCCTATAATCTCCATGCTAATGAATCCTCATGTTTGCAGGCTGTTAATTGAACCTACATTTCCTTTAATGGTAAAAAAACATAGGTTTATCTCTGTATTTATTAATAGTATACAAAATTTTGATATATATTGTGTTCTCAGCTTTTTATATTTCATTGTACTATCTTTATCACATGCACTTTAGAATAATAGTTTTTGTTCATTCAAATCATATACAGTGTGGCAATATATCTGGGGTAGAAAGTACACCCAAATAATAGCATAAGAAGTATAGACATGTCCTAAAATGTCCCATTATCAAAATATGTGAGGTTGTTAGTTTGTATACCATTGCGACTGATTAAGGACAAAACACAAACCTTGTTCAAAGAATGCTATGGTGAGATAGGATTGCTCTACTAAGTACATACAATATTGAATGTCAAACTTCACTAACTTCAGTGTTTTTTCCAAGAACAGTTGATGTTTTTCATTAAAACATACAATATTCAAACCAACTGTTCTCCAGAATGAATAGTCTGACAAAATTTTTTCATTGGGCAATTAATGTAAAAAAGATACCGTATTCAATAATGCAATAGATGTGTCAGAAAATTTAGTGTAATAGAAAATAATTTTTTTTGTTGTGCAAGTCAAAATTTCTCAATTTTGACCTGTTATGTTGGCACTACAAATACAAAATTATTAGTCAATATCTTAATCTAATCCACTCCAAAGATACGTTTCTTCCTATTTTGAAATCATAACTTCAACTATCTGTATAAGATGGCAAGTGGGCAATTTACGACCCAAAATCATAGGAACTTTTAGTGTTATCTTTTATCTATTTCATGCCCTAGAAATATTCTCACCTTTTTTTAATTACCCTGTATATTCATGCCATTTTACTTAAAACTGTGTCTTAAGCAACCAACTTTTATTGATATTTAATGTACTTTTGTTTGGTTAAGAACTTACAGGTGCCTTTTGTAGGACCAAGTTTTTCTGATGACATTTTGCCTAAAAATGATGTTCACATAATATTAGCAATAGCTTTGGTAAAACTGCTATATTACTCTACTCAACTGTATATTTTTACTTGTCTAATAACACTCAATTATTAGGGATTCAAACAGTGATAAAGATCCATCTAAGAGGCAAAAGAAGCCTGAGCAAATTTTCTATATTCCCAGACCAGTTGCTCAGGCTAAAGAATCAAATTCTGTTCAAGACTCAAACAGAAACATGTACTCATATTCAAATGAGAAGCCAAGTAATGGTGCCGGTAGTAGGTTCAAACCAAGGGGAGGTTATTCAGATGCAAATCAGGATCAAAGGGAGTTTCAAGAGAGAGGTTGGAGAGACAAATCACCAACTATGAGAAGAGGCAGGCAAGGGTCTGAACCAAGAGGTATGTTGAAGAAATAAATCTGAGAATATTTCAGTGAAAGTCCCTACGCTTTTTTCATATCTCAACTTTGACTCATCAAAACCATTGCCAGCATACAATATTTGAGTGCTTGTATTTTGACACATAACAATGTTAGTAATGGGTAAGCACCATTGCAAAGCTAATGATTTTCATTTACATTTTTTTTATGGCAGCCTTGAAATATAGTATTAAAATTTTATGTTTTAAAAATGTCTAAACACCATTGTTGTAGGTTTTGATAATGATAGAGGCCATTCTAACAACTGGGGACGTACGCGTGACTCTTGGAGTGTAGAACCTTCAGGACCACCTAGTGGTTACAACAGAGGTGAAAAGATACAGTCTAAGCCACCTAGTGTACCTCGTCGTCATAGCACTGTGGGTTTGGAAGGGTCACATATACCTTTCAATTTGGACAAGTTGCCACCAAGGTAAGACCATAGTTTGAACACCAAATGCATGGGTTTTGTGATTTTGAGTATCCTTTCTCCTTCACTGATTCTTTCAGTTTGATACATTATAAATATTGTAAGAGCCCTTGCTGTACATCTCATTATTCCAAACTGAAAACTGATCGGGATAATATCTAGTTCTCTCACTTAAAATAGGCAAGTTTTATTGGTCTCGGACACAATGATTATCTGTTGTTTGCCACCCTGTAAATGATTTTCATCATAATAAATGTTTATTGATACTTTGGCAATTTAGTTGTTGCACTAAAAAATAAAAATACAATCTTTTAGGTTGAGGAAGAAATATTTAGAAGAAAATAACATCACAGTAGATCCTGGTGTAAGAGAAGATAACTGGGATGGATCCAGTATGTCTTTTCAGAGTCATGGAGGATTGAAAAATCCTAGTTTCCACCAATATGGAGGGTCAAGTAGTGGATATCAAGGTGGGTGGACAAACACATAATAATAACGTGTTGTTTTCCAATTGACACATCTGTAACATTATTTCAATATCGACTGATTATGTCGCTTTACAAAATGGCTACAAATGTTTAAAATCTCCTTCAATACACTATTTTTTGTTCAGATAATCTAAGGATATAGTTTATCCGCCTTTACAGCATAAAGATTATAAAATAGATATAAATTGTGAATCCATGATTCAAGATAGCAGCTTTACTGCCATTTTAGATAGCGGAGCACAATTATTATGCACAAATTCTTTCAACTAATCCACGAGATTTACTACATTTTATTTTACACCCTACGACATTGGGCAAGGAAGTATTGTTATCGTGAAAAAATGAGATATGTTTTTGGATGTTAACTGACATGTACATAATCAAAAACCATGTCATTCATTTCTGTCAGACAACCTACCTTCTTGACGATCAGTCTGGTATCATTTGGCCATCTATAACTTAGAAGGTACTGCTTGGAATGGGATCAAATTTTTACACAAAGTTACTACTATACCTAGAACGTCGTTTTTTAACTTTTCAGAGGATCCTGATCTAAAGTATTTCTCAATTTTTTTAAAATTACTATTACTAAGTGTAGCTCTTGGTCATATGTCCTTGATTTAAATTACCTGATTTTAACTTTTTATATTGATTTTGACCGTTTATACAGATATTGACCTTTACTGTTGTTGTGTGGTTTTGATCAGTTTCTTTTTTTTTCATTTATTTTAGGATGATTCATTACAGCAAAAAGTATAATTATATATACTAGTATACTCACTAACATAAAAAAATAACTCGGGTAATTCTACGCACCTAGTAGCCCTATTCCACACATTATAGGATTCCCCATACATTTGTCTTGTAAAACTTATAATGATGGACGGTAGCTACCGATAGGGCAAGGAAGGAAAGTCACTGGATTACATGTATGGACCTTTTTGACTGAATTGATCCGCTTAATTTCTTTATTGTACATGTTCATAACTAATTTGTTGCTCAGATGGTTTAACTTAATCCTTCATGATGACGGCGTTGCGTAAGATGCACAGAGTCAACCTTCTTTGCGCCATTTTTTTATGATGGCAGACTGTCTAATTTCTAATACAATTTGACATATTTGAGCCCTAGTCAAACAAATCAGTTCTTCATAAAGAAGGACTTGATGTATTATCAAATATTCTAGTAATACCTTAAGTCTTACTTAACCTTATTTTTTCATTAACAGCAGGCTACCACACGCTCCCGAACAAACCAAGCAGAGGCCGGGGGCGGTACACCCAAGGTCGACATCAACAGCCAGGTCCTGATCACCAACAACAATCCTACAGATGTTCCACTCCCGATTCTACGCGCAGTCCGGCCGGTTCAAGACCGCCCACCCCTCCGCTAGCATCGAGAAGAGGGGAAGGGAGACCGGTCACCCCTCCCCTGACATTTAGAAGAGGAGAGGGGACAAGTAGCCGCCCCCAGACGCCTGTCAGAAGTGGATGGGGGGATGATCAACAGGGATCAGGGTGGCATGATGGTGGTCATGGAGGTGGTGGGCGTGGCGGAAGGTGGGATGATAACAGGGATTATGGGAGGGGAATGAAAGGCGGTGGATGGTCGGTTGGAGGAAGCAGTGGTACAGGTGGAGGAGGTGGAAATAGTAGGGGCAGTAGGTGAGTCATTTAAATTTTAATATGTCTGGGAGGGGAAAGTATTGCAAAGTACCCATAACAAGGGCAGTTGACTCAGCCAACTTATGCCACCATAAAATGTTCTCGGTAATGTAACATAGCATAATGTAAAATTTTTGGTGAATATTTATCTTAGTTTTTCCTAAGGTGTAACGGTCCAGCTGATTTAGAATCGGGAAGGTGAACTGTATGATGTGCAAGGAAAAGGTCAAAATCTCAAAGCACCCTGTATAGGCAACTTGTTTTACTTTCCTCTTGTGGTTATCTAGTTTCAAAAATATTAAGACTTACACTTAACCCTATACTCTCTTACCCAAACTTCTTTCCACGGTAATAATAAGTTTATTCACGTATAAACTATTACAATTTATTTAAAATCAATATAATACGCAAATAAACTGAAATAATCCCACAGAAGAATTTAATCCTTGTGCATGGAAAATATGTTCATAACAATTTTTGCTTTAAACATAGATATAGTTAATACATAAATTTAAGTACAAATTGTAACCATACATGTGAGTGTAATGTTACATTTAGGACTTAATTAACTTTCATTCGAGTGAACTTTGCTATTTCATGTCGATTTTTAGAGAGAATTTCTTTATTTCAATTTTGAATCTATTTTTATATGAAATGGATTTTATATGGCTTGGTAAAAAGTTATAAAATCTGGTTGAAAGTTAACTGAAGCAACTCTGACCTAGATTTTCTGCTGTAAATGGTGTTCTCTTAATATCCTCGACTTCTTGTTTCATATCTTGTTGTTTATACTGAGAAATTTCGATTTCTAATCTTTTTGTGTGTGTTGAAAGCAAAATTCACGAGTATCTATCAGTTGTGCGAAAACATTATCCAAATTTTAAGAAAAGACTCACCCTGTGCCAGAGGTTTCGTGGTGTCCATTTACTGGATGTCCCATTTCATGTTTAATCGCAGCTATTCCTCTTCATGTTGAAATATAAATACTCACTTAATTCGAAAATAAATTGTGTCTTTTTTTAAATCAAATCCGGCGCTCTTATTGAGACATCCTTTATATCCTTAAAATGCACAGTGGAGTGACAGTGAGATGTAAGAAAATTATATTTTTTAATAGGCATTTTCTTGAAATTTTGCAGGTATAATAGGTCAAAAGATGGAAGAGACAGAAATACGCCTGTGAGAGAATCGCCGTTTAGAGAACGCCCTATTAGAGAAACATCTATAAGGGAAACGCCCAGCAGAGAGACGCCTATTGGAGAAACTAGTAGGGATTCGCCTAGCAGAGACCTGAGAAGAGACAGAGACAGTTCCAACAGGAAAGACAGAAATAGCAAAAGAGGTTTCAGTGACAAAAGGAGAAATAGAAGGAATAAAGAGAGAAGTAGAAGTAGGGAGCACAAAGATATGAACTATAGGGACAAGTATGAAGATGATAGGTTCAAAAATAGGGATGAAGAAATAGATTATAGTAGACATCAGGATAATGATGTGAGCAACCACAATAAGAGATCTGATGAAAATGATGTTGGAGTGCAGGCGACTAAAGTTGACGATGTTAGAAAAACTGAAGATGAAATGACCAAACTGGAAGTTCAGATGAATTCAGTTACTCTGGTGGAAATGCCATTGGCTTCTGTTCAGTTGGTGCAACAGGCTGCTGCAACGACATTGGTACATTTTTTTATTCATTGGAGTATTTATTTTCTGAAAACATTGAGCATTTCGAAGTGACCCTAAGAAAAGTCAAACGACGGATATTGAATAAAATACTTTAGTGACGTTTTTGTTGCATCTTTCAAAGTGGAGCTAAATTGAAAGATTTATAATATTTTTTGTCAATTGTAATAAATGATGAGGCTCTAAATACTGATAATGTCTGTGATTTATAGGATTGGAGTGAAGAAGTAGAATTGGAGCTTTGTGATAGATTAGAAGATAATTTTAGTGATGCTGCACTGCCACGAAGCGATTCACTGTCTAGTTTGCAGGAGGAAATCAGCACAATGTCACTGCCGCCAAATATTGGCACATCTGCCCCTAGTAGTACACATAAACGTAATAAAAGGTAATTACAAAAATAACGCACAGTTTTTTACGTTTATTTTGAAATCTTTAATTTAACAAGGTCATGAAAAGTTTTACACTTTAAAGATTAATAACATGCAACAAAACATCAAGGCTTCAGTTGAGCTAGTCTTACTCAGATGTGATACTTATACAATTTATTCGCTTGAGATATGCATATGTATTTCTGTTATAGCTTAGTTTCAAACTACCTTTTTAATTAAGAATGATTGTATTCTTCTGACAAAGCATATTTATCTATTCATTCTAATTGTCTTCATTTTAGGAAAAAAATTATTTCACTTCTCTTAGATTGTTTAAAAAATCTGATTCTATTATTCTAGGACAGGAGGAAGAAAAAGTAGGAACGGCAGTAGAAATAGGTAAGCTTTCAAACACAAATGTATCACTTATTAGTTGATTGATTTATTTATCATGGTCTTTTCGCTTGTCGCTAGTAGATGCGAGGCCTAGAGCAAAACATTTTTGCGAGGCCTTTTTTTAAATAAAGTGGTCTACTCCGAAACTTTTTTTAAAATTATCTTTCAAGAAAGTGTTATAGCATTTTTGAAGAAGTCATGTCATCTCAAAACACGCCAATTATTTGCGTGATCATTTGGCAATAGGGGGAACATGTTGCAGCATCACAAACTAAGAGGTTGAGGCTGTGACTAGCGCAGGGATGTGAAATGCCTTTGGATTTATTTCCAAGATCCGTGTCTGTACTCCAGAGCGGATACCTTTCATGTTGGATCCGTTATCATATCCTTGTCCTCTAAAGGCCTTTATTGCAGAAGAACATCAGATTTTTTCCTGTTGTTCTGATGCTAGTATCTTTGCTTAGATTTCTGTTGCAATCTTGGTTATTCAGGGTAGCAAGATCATACAAGCACATGTATTTTTGAAACTGTTTTTTATTTAAATTGTACTGAAGGTTGTTTTTAATTTGTAAGTTATATTGGTTTTTGAATTTGAATAAACTTTGATTGATTGATAAAAAAAAATCATAGCAACAATATAAATAGACCAATCGTTACTTCCTTTGTAGAAGTAGACATCGGGACTTGACGCCGCCCCACGTAGAAATGGGCCCACCGAGTCGTAGATCCAGGCAGAATTCTACCACCAGTGTGGACAGTCGAGATGGTGGCGGATGGTCCCGGAGGAGAGGCAGTAGGGACCGCAGGGAAGGTTGCGGACCCGGCTTTTGGGCTACTGACTCGTCCAGGGGGCCTAGTAGGGACGTCAGCCTGGAGAGAGTTACTGAGAACTGGAGGGACGAGTGTGTTATCAAAAGGTTTGTGGTTTTAGACAGTGTTACAATCGTAATAGATCTATAACTATTAGATAAGGTCCCCGCACAAAACATACGGAAAGTGGGTTCCAGTCGATTGGTCAAAATTAACCATGTGCTTTTACTTTCTAAGTTAAAGTACATTGGATTTGACAATATAGCTATCCAATTCTACAAAAACTACCTCTCACACCGTATGCAGTGCGTTTCTGTAGGCAGCAGGCTATCAGAAGTCAGTATGATACCATCAGGAATCCCTCAGGGCTCCATACTAGGCATTGCGTTATTTCTCATATACACTTTTGATTTGCACAAATCTGTCGCACATTCCGATTTACTAAGCTTTGCTGATGACACTCAACTCATTCATTATTTTGACGCCTCTTGTTCGCAGGATGCTGCTGCCTTATTAGAGCAGGATCTGAGCAAAGTGCAAAAATATTCAAGTGACCATAATCTAAATATTAATCCGGATAAGACTCAAATATTACTAGAATACATTTAAAGTTAACCTTGATGGCTCGCTGCTGCAGATTGATAATTCAGCTACAATTTTAGGTGTTGAAATTGCAAATTGAGATTTAGGGAGCATGTTATGTCCTTAGCTAAAAAAACCTATGGTCGAATGAGAGCGTTATATGCCAATCGCCACCTACTGAACTTTAAATTGAGAAAAAAACTTTGTGAGTCTCTTGTGTTGCCAATTCTTAGTTATTGTGATATTTTATATTACCCATGTCTTGATGAACGGATGAAAAGCAGGCTTCAAATAATTCAAAACAATTGCATTCGCTTTATTCATGGATTGAGGAGATTTGACCATGTTAGTGACAAATACAGCCAAATGAAATGGCTAAGAATTGATAAACATGTGCGGTGCAAATACTTAGTGTTTTTGCACAAGTTGATAGCTGCGTCAAGAGCTGCATACCTGAGAGAAAAGGTCATATTTAATCGAGAAATTCATGACAGGATTACCAGGGACCGTATTATGGTCAGGATACCTCCACATTCTATGACACTCTTCAAGCGTTGTTTCTCGTATAATGCTGTCGTATTTTACAATGCTTTGCCCAGAAAGTACAGGGAAATGTCTTTTGCTAGTTTTCGAAGGCAAAACAAGCAATTTATGCTCACTCTTCCCTGATATTGATATAACTGATTTTCTGAGCCGTTTAGGCATACGTGTACATAGTGTATATAGTTGTAGTGTACTTTAGTTTAGTTGATTAGTTATTTAACCTTTCTGTATTCCTTAGTGTTTCTTATATATTTTTTTTCTCTTTTTTGGAATTGCACACAACATCGTGCTTAAAGTACAGACAAAGGTAGTTAAGTGTAAGAGTAGCTCAAGCTAAACTTCGCTATCTTTGTCCCTCACATGTACAAAAGATGAATAAAGGCGTTATTATTATTATTATTATAATTCTGTATGATATGATTAATTGATAAAGTCATTGATATCATTGAATAACTACACATTGCACAAGCATCTTCACCAGGTTTAGAAATACATATATTTTTCTGTTGGCTTAATACAAAGCTATGTAACAGACTGCGTACTGAAAAGGCCTCGAAATTAGTCTTTGTATTTAAAATATTTAATACATATTCAAATAATGACGATGATTGAACGTAAAATTAGAAGAGTAAAATATATTACTAATATTTCTATTACATTTTATCGTAAGTTTTAGTGTAAGAGTATGAATACAAATTAAAAAGTCGTACAAAAGGTTTGTGTTTTTCTTTGAATATGTGTTTAGTTTCCTTTAGACATCATTTTGTTGGCCACTTTTCACCGAACCTGTTTTCTACCTATCAAATGATGGTATTCATCTGCTACCTATATTGTTTAACAGGTGGAAAGCAACTATAGAATTATATATTTTTTCAATATTTAGTCTCCAGCAACCATGACCCAACGGTTTTGGAGACATCACCAAATCCCAGCCACGTTAATTACTTGTTTTATATCTTAATAGATTGACTACATATTTTGGCTTTGTTAGTATGGAAGTCCCTCCCCTACTCAATTTTCATTGTCAAGCTTCACTTCATTTATGATATGAAAATATCAGGACTTTATCCTAGTAATTCCAACCGAATTTTCTCGGATCTGACAAAAATGTCTCACGACTCAGTATTTCGGCACTCAAACTGTAAGCGTTCCGTTATATGGCGAATACTGATTAATTGGCGCTGCATTAGATCGGTAGCGTGAAAAAGACAAGGAGTTTACCATTGCTTGATTCGTCCTTTCCAATATTTAAAAGAATGTGACAGTTGATACATTTTTACAGGAGCCTTATTGAGAAAAACAACAAACCTAGCCTAGATGAAATTAAAGACGTTGATACTACTACGAAGAAAGCAGGAGTCATTATCATACCACATGCCAATGAAGAACCAGTCCGTCCAGTGACTACTGTTAATACACATGATCATCCTAGGTAAATAATTTGTTATTTGTGGTATAACCTTGGGAACCCAACTAGCAAAGTAGTGTTATAAGCTTTTGGTAAAAGAACCGTTCAGCCATAAAAGCTCTCTATTGTTGTTGCCTGAACACCAAAATGCTGGCTTAATGTTGTGTGGAATGAAAGTTTGCTTTCTGCAACATATTTGCTCTAAAATGAGGTGTTTAAGATATTCTTATAGCATAGGTATACAACACCTTATAGGGCAAATTTTTAACTGTTGCATAAACGTTTATACAACTATTTTATACGGCATATTTGCACGTTAGTCAAAATGGTTGTGTTGTGGCATCCATGGTAACGTTTATAAAACAAACCGGAGCCATGTTGTTTTGCTGTGCAATTTACTACTTTAGCCAACAAATTGCTCCCAACGGAAGCACTTATACAACTATTGTTTAGTAACTGTTAAAGGCTGTACATATGCTAAATATTTTGGTATACAACTTCACCATAATCTAACTTTCTGCTGTCATATTTTTGTTAAAATGCCATAACCAATGTTTTAAGACAAACAACGCATGCATATTGGTTCAAAAGGTTTTATTATCTGTTCAAACAGAAGATATAGATCTGGTACAAATTCTGGCTAAATCATTCGACTCTGTCGGTATTTCATTTCAGGCATTTGTCAAATTGTTGTATAACACCTGCAGGCAACACCAAAATATTCTAATAAACTAAAGACAACATGGACGATGCCATGATTATACACAACCACCCGCCATATTGGGCAAACATGTATTCCTCTATTTAATATTAAATAATTATGTTTCAGTTTGAAATTATAGATATATAGTGATAAACATTAGTGTAATTGTGTCTAAATATAAGATTTGTGGAAGATTTAACGCAGATAAGTTCAGTTTTCCATCTTTAAAATCTAGACATACTTTTGATCATTATCAAAATATGAATCAAATACGAAGCCCATAGAAATTGCGAAACTACTTTGCACGATAGATAGATAGATGCTTTATTGTCTTCTGATCATAGAAATGATATAAGACTCGTCTGGCATATCTCTATGAGTACATTATTATCAACAAAAATTAAAAATATAGTTAAGTATAAATACATAAATGTGTCGGTTAAAAATGGAAACAATAAAATTTGCTGCGCAAGTAATTCAATTGCCCTATATCACAGTGTCGAAGTTTATCATATACCTGTGTATGAACTTCACATTTTCCGATATGTAAGTAAATAAGATGACTGTAATGTGTTAGTTATATATTCTTCACTTCTTCTATACAATACATAAGAAATAGTTTGGTTGCAATAAAGTAGAATCACGTAACAGAATAGTTGTATAGTTGACAAAAACTGAATCTTGCACTGACGCAAATGTCCTATAGCGGGTGCAAGAGGTTTACACTTTTGTAACTGTTACCTGCAGTCCTTATACAACCTCTTAAATGACTGAAGTGTCCTATTAGGTGTGCCCATTCCGCTTGTATAGGTGTTCTAAATTCTTTCACTTTTGCCATTCTCACTGATGTTAATGTTTACCGCACACAATAGCAGAGTATCGCAGAGCAAATAAAAAACTGAAACGTTTCCATACTTGTGTCTTACAAAAACTGTGGTATTTAAAAAAACGCGTGTTGTTATTTCCAGAGAATCTGAATAATTGTAAGATAAACATTGTATGAGTACGGGAGACAAAGGTAGACTTTAATATTTATATTAACTGTTCCATCCCAATTTTAATTTAGGTATATGAAATAGTTCATAATAATGTTAATATTTGTTTCCAAACTTTTGTCCGCTACTGTAATTGAACACAACAAAATCAAATATCACGTTGATCCGAAATATAAAGTCCTTAACTGGCTCTTAACTATTTTGATGTCTGATTGGCGATAATCTACGAAATCTTACGCGAAACTTTTTAATCTGTTCTAACGTTTTTTAGGGCGCGTGTCGATTCCTTGTATTCTCTCTTTTGCATGATTCTCCTTTTTTTCATAGGTATCCAGAAACACGTCGCACGCCTACCCAACAAAAAGCTCTGTTCGACCCCAACAACCCAGAGAAGCCCATCATTGTGAAATCTTCGAGTCCCAGAGTGGCCGCACCAGGCTTTTCCGACAACAACGTAGATGGCGCGCCACCACCTGTCCATACCACCGATCAGTTTGGAAACCTAAGGCCCCCTTGGTACGAGGAGACCAGCGATGGGTTCAAATCTTGCCATTATCCGGATCTACTACGGTAAGAAAATGAATTAGCCTAGAATCTTGACCAACTCCTTCTGCAATGAGTCATTGATAATCTTGCGCTTTTGCACCCACATGCAATCAGAATTTGTGCATCTGAGGTGTGCTCCATAATTTCGCACCTATTTAGGTCACGATTTAGCAGGCTTTTGCTTCGCATTTCAACTTGACCGTGCTTTATACATCTGATAGCGTTTTCTTATGGTTAAACTGATGTTGCACTTTTGCATCTAACTATATATATATATATATATATATATATATATATATATATATATATATAAATGAATCCCTATTTCTAGTGGTCACGCCATAACTGAACGAATTTTCCGATTTCATTCATATTTTTTTTAATCATTTTGAATTTGACATCTCGGATGCAGCAAATTTATATTATTGTTTAACAGTGTTTATCGAGAAATTTTTTTATTTAATTAGTAGTGCACACTCCATTTGATTAGAGCTTTTATCCAGTTTTCAGTTTGTTCAGTGTTTTTGTTCAAAAATAATTAACAAAGGTGGAAATTAGTTCACCCCAATCTCCCCTTATATTAGAAGTGTGATTCTTCAACATGCCACCAATAAGACGTACCAACCTAGGTTGCAGAACTCGCAATGCCGCAAGTCAAAGATATTACGAAGAAGTCAAACTGACGAACAACGAGAAACGAGAAATGACGTTGAGCGGTATCGAAGGACTGAAATTCAACAACGTAGAAATGTCGCATTTAGTCCCATTCGAGCTGCTTTCAATTATGACGTGGCAATCGATTACAGTTCACAAGTCGTTGTTATTGGATCAATGAACGTTGTGTCCACATTCCAAGGCTTTCAAGTTTAAAAATGAAGCCCCTGGATTATGTTGCGCCAGTGGAAACGTCAAATTGACTCCATTGGTACCACCACCACAGCCGGTAATGTCCGGAAATGGGCCAGATTCTATAAGTTTTTTTACTCATATCCAGAAATATAAAAATTGCTTTCAAATGACGTCATTTAGCGCAACAAAAGTCATTCGACATAATTTCATGCCTACTTTCAAGGTAAGTTAACGGGGAAAGGCAGTACTGCTAACGTATTTTGCTAGCCACATGGCGGTACGAACACTTCACTATACAATTACCTATATTCCATATATTTACCCGTTCATTATTCCTCCTAGTTCATAGCTAAGACAGAGTTAACTAGTACATCTAGTACTTTATAAAACCTGTGTATATATTCATATTCTTTTAGGGCCGTATCGTCAGTCGTTCCTTGTAGGATGCCTTTATGGCCTCTTTGATTTCGATAATATCATGTCTTCTACAGCCGGTAACCAAAACGGCTACTTACGAGTTAGAAGTCAATAACCAAAACAAAAGTGGTAACAAACCCACATAATAGTCGCAGCAGCCCACGCACTCTGGCGACCGCGATCTGACACGAGCCGGCACCGACGGTCTATCAAGTGTATCCATAAACGAAAATGGTAACAACCGACAATCATTCGAGGCGAGTCAGCCTCATAACGTTCGCAAAATCAAGACAGTATAGGGCGCCTTATTTTCTTGTGGCTAATTTGCTATTTACTGAAGTACTATTACATATTGCTGTTGGTAAACATCAAAATAAAAATTTTGTAATATTGTTTTCAAACAGTGCTAGTCAGCTTATGTAGTGAAAATGAGTCGCTTTGGAAGTGATTTTTTGACTAATATTGATCTGGCGAGTATATCACTAATCTTTCAGAGTATGCAATGTACGCAATTTATTTTAAAAAAAAACAGGATACCAACCCTAACACACAACTGGATGAGTATGCAAGGCTCACCTTGTTTGTTGCGCAGATATCCTGTTTCCCTCAGAAGAGTTGGAGGTAGACCTAATTTCCACTTCGGAGACACTTGACACCCACGTCAGAACACTAAAACACCAGAGCAATACTGAGACAATCGAGAACCCTTTAGTAAACACCACTACTGAAAAAAAGTAACTAAACCGAATAGAGCTCTGCACGGAGCTGTGACCGCGTAGACATTTCGCCGCGCCGACGGCGACGGTTGCCGAGAGACTGAAGCGTGAGTGTGTGTGTGCCGTTGATGATGTTTACGTTGACCGGGAGCAGACGCGCTACGTGGGAGCTGGAAAGGGGCGTGGCTGTACTACCGGCCGTACTGTATCGCCGCAGCGAGGTACAGCACTCACACGCTTCAGTCTCTCGGCAACCGTCGGCGAAGCGGAATATCGCATTACGGTACAGCCGGGTAGTACAGCTACGCCCCTTTCCATCTCCCACTCCGCACATCTGCTCCCGGTCAACGTAAACATCATCAACAGCACACACACGCTTCAGTCTGTCGGCGCGGCGGAATGTCTACGCGTTCTCAGCTCCGTCCAGAGCTCTATTCTGTTTAGCTTCGTTTTTTCAGTAGCGGTGTTCACTAAAGGGTTCTCGATTGTCTCTCAGTGGTGCCTTGATGGTGTTGTGACGTGGGTGTCAAGTGTCTCCGAGGTGGAAGTTAGGTCTACTTCCAACTCGTCTGAGGGAAACAGGATATCCTTGCAGGAAACTAGGTGAGCCTTGCATACTCATCCACTTGTGTGTTAGGGTTGACATCATATGCTTTTTTAAATAAATTGCACACATTGCATACACTGAGAAATTAGTCATATACTGAAGTATTTGGGAAAAACTAAAATTTGGCCAAATCGTTTTTATTTTTGTCTGGCTTTATTTTAAGAAATGTCAAAAAACTACTCGCACTATTTAGGCACTACATGATGCTGTTTTTAAAAAAGTGCTACATTGTATCTAATAGCAGCTTTTTCTACGACTTCAACGATGTACCACGTTACATTTGTTTTTTTAGTTATAAGCAAACGAGTTTTTTCTACTTTTTCGTTATATTTAAGTAGGCATTGCAAACAAATGTTTGATCTAAGATTATGTGATTACTGATTTTAACCTAGTCTGATCCTTATCTTGGCCACCCTGTAATACATTATTATGAAAAGAAATTTACATATACGTGCACTAATCTAACGTTCTTGTAAGTATTCTTATGTACTTACATTTATTTCTAAAAAATCTCAAAACTATTAGGAAGGCCTCGAACAAAATTTCCAAATAATTGGTGATAGCAGAGGTAGCAAAATCGTCTGATGAGCTGGTAACGCCGCAATCCAGGTGACAAGAATGACAAGACCAATTTTCAGAACGTATGTTTATCCCAGGGAAAAAGACGGTGTCATTTAGAACGTCAATGCGGCAGTTTTCCAATCTTCATTTGCATATTTTTAAGTATTGTGCAACGATTTCGAGAAAAAGTTAGCTACGGATAGTTTAGTAGAGTATATTTCAATAGTTGTCTTGCGTGGCCACCGCCTACCAGATCCGCCGGGTGGTGTTACCTCCGCGTTCGACAGTCAAAGACCGTCTACCACCTACGGACAATCACAAGTCAGAAAAATTCTATTGGGACTGGATTCGAACCCGCGGCACGGCGAGTGATTATGAGACCGTAGCGTCTACCACTACCCCACCGCAGCTGTCTAAGCAACCGTATTTTTCAGATTGAGATTATTTATGCAATCTTGCCGATGCTACTAATTCTAGTTAAGTTAAAACTTGTCTTAACAAGATCGCCTGAATATCTTTTTAACATGTTCGATCTTTAGAGTGTGCCTTGCACCTGTCTGATTTTACAAAAATGGCTTAAAAAATAAATTAAATTTTTTTCAGGGACATAAAACGAGCTGATACCGAACTGCAATACATAATTAACAGCGGTTGCCTACTGTCAAACTGGGGTATGGTTGACCAACTGCGTCAGTTCTTGAAAGAAGCCCTCGAATACCTGCTGACCAAAGCGATCAAGTTCTGCGAATCGGAGAACGTTGAACAGCACTTTTGGAACATCCTGTACCACAACATCATCGAGCTGATGCGAAAGGCTATCAAAAATGACCCCGTTAACAAGGACAAGTACAAAACGTTCCTGTTGTACCTCATTGATGAGGGCAGTAGGTTCTTTGAAAGGTTGCTGAAGGTATCGGAGGAAGCGTATGGGTTCAAGCTGAGCGACTTCTTGGATGAGAACAGCGCTACGACACATAAAGGGCTCGGGCTTGTCAGTTTGGCGTTGGTCTGCGCTCAGAAGCTGTACATGTTCTTAGGAGATTTGGGGAGGTACAAGGAAGAAGTGAACGAGTCTGCGAATTACGGAAAGTGCAGGCAGTGAGTAGCTTTTTTCTAAGTTGCTTGCTTCGAATCATGGAAATTTCGTTTCACCTTAGTTGAAAATAGAATTAGATTTTTAGTATAGCTGCTGACTACGTTTTCTTTGAATTGTTTCAGGTGGTACATCAAGTCTCACGAAATCAATCCGAAGAATGGGAAGCCTTACAATCAATTAGCTTTATTAGCGGTCCATGCGGTGAGTTGTGTTGATAAAATGTTAATTTTTTATATTGACCCCAAGCAAAATATGAAATGGACCAATTGTTCTACAGGGTGCAGCAACATAACTTCCTTTTTTAAAAACTTAACCCATTGTATGTATCAAATCATTTTTTATTTTTATTTGCTTTTTATACTGTACTGTACTGTGTTTGACATAGTTTTGAAGATCAAATCAGATAGGTGACGTCCCCCATTATCCATAAACCTGAGTAAACCGGTTTCTGTTGGCAATTTCTTCCTGCATATTAACAATTTGTTCCTGGACGTGGGTTTTCAAATCTTGTAGGGACCTTGGACGGTTCGCATAAACTTGGGATACAAAAAAAACCCATAGAAACAAGTGGCCAAATCGGGAAAGCTAGCCGGTTACTCTAAATCGTCCCTAATTGAGTTGAGGCGCTTTAGGAAGTGTTCTCTCAAAACAGCCATCAATGCTCTTGAAGTTTGTGCCTTTGAAGTGTCTGGTTGGAACCAAATTCCTCTAAGTCCTACACGTCTAGCCGTGGAAAAAATCCTGTAACATGTTTACATACTGGTCCGAATTCACTGTCACTGCGGGTCCATTTTTCTCAAAGAACCAGCTGAGGTGATTGCACACCAACCACACTGTGACTTTAGGTGAATCCGTCGATGCAATTCTCGAGGATTGGTGTCAGCCCAGTAGCGCATATTGTTGACGGATCCACACAAATGAAAATGGGCCTCATCGCTAAAAAACTATCGTCCTTAGGAAAAGCACTGGCCCCTATGAGATTCCCGTTTCGCTAATTAAGGATAATGCTGATATCATTGCACCAATACTTACTGAACTTATCAATGCTTCAGTAATTAAATGTACTTTTCCATCCGCATTAAAAGGCAGCAACGGTGGCCGCAGTAGTAGACTCTTCGGTCTCATGATAAGTCACCTTGCGCTGTGCGGGTTCGAATCCTGTTCCAAGAAAATTTTTTTCTCTTGGCTATGGATGTTGTGATTGTCCGTAGGTGGTAGACGGTCTCTGACTGTCGAACGCAGAGGTACCACCCGGCGGGGCCAGAATGTGTGCATGTTGCATGGCGTTCCCTCTTTCCCCTGTATCCCCCTATAGGCCTACGGTACCCCATGGGTATTTAGGCCTTAGACCTTCGTGGTAGTTGGAGTATAAAAAAAAATAGCTACTATTATCCTAATATTAAAAAAAGCTGATCCTTTAAACTTAGAAAACTACAGGCCAATAGCTCTTTTAAGTATTTTCTCAAAAATCATAGAAAAAGTCATTGCAACAAAGATTGAATCTTTTCGAGCTGGATGTTCAACAGAAGTAGCAACCACCAAATGTGTTCAGCATATACAGTGACGACAGATTTAAATTTAAGATTGGAGTGCGAGGTTCATAGTTGCCCTCCTTTTTGGAAAAGAGAAAATTTTCAAAGCAGTGTCTTAGGACCTTTGATCTTTTTATTGTTTGTCAATGACTTTCCTTTGTACATATACCAGTGAAGATACACCATATACGCTGATCACACCTGTATGCACCTGCAAAAACAAAAATTGTGATAAAGTAATTTGATGTTTGGGGCTATAAAAACAGACTAATATTAATCACAACTTTAAAGGATCTCTAATAAAACCATCCGTCATTTAAATTCTTAGATGTCATTTTAGACTCACATCTGTCATGGAAGGAAAATGCCAATTCAGTATGCGCAAAGCTTGGTGAATGTTATTTTGTGATAAATTCTTTAAACAATACCTTAGATACAGAAGGCTTGTTGAATACATATTTATTATTCGTTAGGATACTCTGCTACTTCATATTGTATTTTCTTGTGGGGGCAGGCTAAAGACATCCAGCGTGTTTTTATCCTCCAGAAAGAATCATCCGTTTAATTTTTTAAATTCACTATCAGTCATCTTGCAGGGAAATATTCAAACGTTATTAAATTCGTACTGTGGCATCTATTTATATGTTGAAGCTATTCGAGTATTTTTTTCTAAAATAAAAATAAATTTAAAAGACATCCGATAAGCATAATTACAATACTCGTAAGAAAGACAGTTTCATTAATAATAAATTTCATCACATGTACTATAAAAAGTCTCCAGTTTATGCCTTCGTGATTGCAACATTGCAATTGCTCTCACTGCATCAATGTGTGCAGGATGGGCCGAGGAAGTCCAGTTCTGCGGCTTGTCGCACTTGAAGTTTGCATTAACGTAACAATTGAAGTTCGGTTCGGAACTGTGTCGGGACAAAACTTTATAGTCCCGCCTCTCGAACGAGACAACTAGCTCTCCGCTACGACTTAATGGCGCGCATTTAAAAAAAGGAAGGTATGCTGCCTCACCCTGTACTAAAGAAATACATTTTGACTTTTTTAGAGACGAAAACTAGACGCCGTTTACTACTACATGAGAAGTCTGATGTCATCAAACCCAGTCCCTTCTGCCAGAGAAAGTCTCATCTCATTACTTGATGAAAACAGGAAGAAGGTAATGCATGAAATTTCAGAATTTCTTGATTCACAAAAATATGGTTTCTATATTAATTTTACAACTGATTCCTCAAATTACTAATGTTGTGGTGGTTTATTTCCATGACGATCATTTAGGAGGTTAGTATAATGACTTGTATATTTTAATACTTGAGCATGCTACTTTTGCTTGTTTAATTTGATATATTTTCATTTTCTTCATTACGTTGAACATAATGTTAGTTTTAATTTTTCCTTACCGAATTTGTTATACTCTTTCTTAAAACAATATATTTCAATTAATAATATGTCATGCTTAAGGTTCAATTTAACATTACAATTTACATAAAATTTGATAAAAGCAATATTGTCGATATTAAGATGTTTCCTGAAATGGAGTATGGTATATCATAATATTGTTTTTTCACATTTTGATGTCATTTATTGAATAGTTCTCCAGTGATATTCAAACTGCACCGTACATTGTCTTATGATTTTTATACACTTTTCCAGTCGACCTTATTTGATATATACACTGTAGTGTGATTTTATAACATGAGTTATTGCTAAATTCTTAGTTTATAATTTGCAGTATGATAGTTTGACGTCAGTATGCTTTCCCCTAAAATGCGTATGTTGGACAAACACAGGACTTTATCTTTGCATACTCAGAGTGAAGCTTTGTGCAGTTGTTGTACTAATCAACCATTTGATTATCTTGCTTACTAATTGATGCATTTCTTGCCCATTATGAATATGTCCATGATGACATGCTTTGTCCTACAGTCGCTGTGTTGTGGTGTTTTAAGATAATCTTAGCATAGAAGTATACTACAGAATTATTTGCGCAGCTGATAGTTGCGTTTCAGTTGATACGTCGCGTAGACTGCTTCCCGAAATTCATTTTATAGTCAGGTCTAAAAATGTCATCTGCAATGTCAAGTTCGCCAAGGAGAGCAGCATGGCCACGTGCTAATATAAAAAAATCAATGACGCAACTCTCTCCAAACGACTGAATGAAGTTATTCTATAAACCAAGAGTAGTTATATTAAGAGAGAACAGAAAATAAGAATAAATTAGAAAGAGATAAGAGGCGTATCCAAAAACATGGATCCTTAAAACAGCTGATGGCGTCTAAACACGTGCTGTTCTCATTTAGTCGTAGATAAATGCATTGTTGCCAGATAGATAATCCTTTTTGGATGTGAATTCATTGACCATCATTTTTTGTTCAAATTTACTTTTGTTTGGACATTTATTCATGGTGGGGATATTTATCATCAATTTATACCATATGAAATATATTTTTTTCATTCAATAAATTTTTAAACCACACTTTTCGCGGGCGAATTTATTCTGGAAAACCTTTAAGTTATCACATAGCTATTTAACTTTTAGGGCCCTACGCGGAATACTACACGATTTGGTACAGTAACAAAAGTTTTCTAACCTAAGATTGCTTATTTGACCAATTGTCGGTCTATTTGACAGCCTAGCCATAAGACGTATGACTTTTCGACGTAACCACCAAAAACATGTGAAAGGAACTGAACTCCATTCATCTCAGTATACATGTAGCCTTTTCTAAACATTTTATTGCAGTTTGGCTACACCGGACGGTACATGCTGAGCCATCTATGATCGAATCGCTAAAGGACGGTCCTGTCCCGCTCATACTCGTATATCGCTGTTTTTATTTGTAAATTAGTAATAGCCCAATAGCCGACCGCAAATTTTAGTTACATCGCGTACTGATATAAGTTAAAAACTAGTAAAACTTGCTGAGTTGACCGTTTAGCATCAAAATACGTAAGATGTAACTAGTTTTCATCGTATCATATCAGTACGAGATGATGTAATAAAAAATGTACGATCAGCTTCCCTATTATAATGCAGAAGACTCCCAAGGTCAATGGGGTCGACCGGCAGATTATAAAGGCATTTCACGAAGTGTCTTCTCTTGATATAACTGTTATTTACTATAAGTATGGGCGAAAGGCAAATGACAGTACCTAGTTCGCTGATGTGAAGAAATCAATTTTTTCTCTCTTTCGTTGACGCTTAGACTTGAAACGTAAGATCATATTCCAGAGGTATTTTCGCCTATACCGATAATCGGCCGATATAGATATATGAAGGGCGTTTACATCGGTATTATCGGCCTCTATCTTTTTTTTTGTACTTGATCGGTATATTTTGCTTCTGTAACCTTAGAGGAAAATCTTGGCCGTAATGCGTATATGAAAACTCCGATTAAAGCTCACATACACCGCACCAAAATAAACACCTACTCCATCGCTCAATAAGCTGTAACAATGACCTATTACGAGCGCAATAATTAGGTGATCGAACAACCACCTTCGATTTAGCACAGTGCAAATGCGGTTTGAAGTTGCGATGCATATCGAAAGGAAACCCGTTACGTGAAACCGATTTCATGAGATTAGTTTCAAAGAATCAGCTGCATCAATGATGATAGAGAAACTTCAGCTTTAGGTTTATCCATTGATAAGAGGTAGGCTACAGATCACTTGAACTCAGCTCATCACTTCAACTTGATTCTATCAAATTCGAGAAGTTAAAAACATTTCTTTCTGTGTCACTTGTGAAAAAGTAGCAGTTCAAAGGAAAATCCTTCAATCCGGTGTCACTGAATTATAATTCGAAATTACAATCGTGACGTTAAATAGCAGAAAACTATTTTCAAAGTCTCCTAAAACCCTGTTTCGTTGCAGTTATCTTTCGTTGCAGTTATCGTAAATGCCAGAAATATGGCCGTGTTTAAATATGTTGAAAAATTACCAAATCAATGCATCAATGATGATAGAGAAACTTCAGCTTTAGGTTTATCCATTGATAAGAGGTAGGCTACAGATCACTTGAACTCAGCTCATCACTTCAACTTGATTCTATCAAATTCGAGAAGTTAAAAACATTTCTTTCTGTGTCACTTGTAAAAAAGTAGCAGTTCAAAGGAAAATCCTTCAATCCGGTGTCACTGAATTATAATTCGAAATTACAATCGTGACGTTAAATAGCAGAAAACTATTTTCAAAGTCTCCTAAAACCCTGTTTCGTTGCAGTTATCTTTCGTTGCAGTTATCGTAAATGCCAGAAATATGGCCGTGTTTAAATATGTTGAAAAATTACCAAATCAATGCATCAATGATGATAGAGAAACTTCAGCTTTAGGTTTATCCATTGATAAGAGGTAGGCTACAGATCACTTGAACTCAGCTCATCACTTCAACTTGATTCTATCAAATTCGAGAAGTTAAAAACATTTCTTTCTGTGTCACTTGTGAAAAAGTAGCAGTTCAAAGGAAAATCCTTCAATCCGGTGTCACTGAATTATAATTCGAAATTACAATCGTGACGTTAAATAGCAGAAAACTATTTTCAAAGTCTCCTAAAACCCTGTTTCGTTGCAGTTATCTTTCGTTGCAGTTATCGTAAATGCCAGAAATATGGCCGTGTTTAAATATGTTGAAAAATTACCAAATCAAAAGACCGATATTTTCGATAATGTAATTGTTGTCCAACGTAAAAAGAGAAAATGATTTAACTAGATTAGTGAAGACATATTTCAATACATCGCATTATCGCGATTTTTGTTCACCTTATTAGCAAATTTGCATATTAACTGTGTTATGTACATCGGAAAAAAGATTAAGTGCATCATCCCTGAAATAGGGATTTAAACAATCTGGTAATAAAGCAGCTATATGTTTAGGTAGATAGTGTCTCACTTAACTATTGTTTGCAACAAAATCATCTTAGATTCCGGTGCAACTAATCGAAAAGAGACTGTTGAAGTGACTTCATACTTTCACCTATTTTGCCGATTATCCATGTGTGAGAAGTATGCTTCACAGAAAATTTACATTTGTGCTACGCACTGTCAGCTGTGCATCCTTCTGTCAAATCCCACTAACAACCTTCCGTTTCACACTCTCAGTTCGAGCAGAGCGAAAAGAAACGCCGCGAAGAACGTCAAGAGCAGCGACGTCGGCGTCAACAGCAGCTGGAGAAAGAGCGCGAGGGGCAGCAGGGCGAAGGCAAAGGCACGGTAGGGGGCGCCCCTGGGGGCAGCAACGCGCTGAGGAAGGAAACATGGGTGCACCCGGAGGGAGGACCGAGAGTGCATCGGACAACAAGGGCTAGCGAACATGAAGAGAATGAGGAGGAGGATTTAGCGGCACTCAGCAGCGTTGAGGTAAGACGGGTAGTTTCAATTTGGACGTGGAATGTCAAAAAATGTACATTATAATTAGCAATTGATGAAGCAGAACTTCACCCCTTCCAAACGATTCTGACCTATCCAATTCATAAAAAGTACGTATGTATATTTCCTCAATATAATTTGTGAACGTTAGCTTCTCAAAAGCAAATGCCGAATTGAGGGTGCTTAATGAATTTCAGTAAGTCACGGTAAGCAGGCTTCAGTCTATGATCTAATCTATATTTTTTTCCACGCTAAGTATTGGATTTTAAACCAGACAACGCCGATGCCTCAAAGAAGGATGCCTTTTTTCTTCTTGCACTACAGGACACTGATGGCATACACGGTGGCCAGTGTATAACTGACTGATTAAAATTGCGCACTATTTTTGATACACGCATTTCAGTAGGTGGGGTCGTAGTAGTTGTTTCAAGCACATGTGTCCAATTCAGCATGGAGCGATAAACGATCTCACAACGTATCCGTATTGTTAAAACGTTTTACTTGAATAATGAGTCGATTATTGAAATGATTTGGAAGCTACAAGGCATCGTTCTCAAGAACTGGATATTGTTCTCACGTCATTATGCACTGTTTAAAAAAAAGACTTTCATTTGCGGCCATACAAAATTCAGTTAACCCAAGAACTACAGCCTAGTGACCACGAACGTCGCCGACAATACAGTCATGCACTATTGCAGCTTAACGATTTTTACCTACAACTGATATTGGACATTAGAGAACCCTCGTACCATCCATTAACGACCTCTAAATCCTCGTCGAGTCACAGTTTGGTGCGGTGTTTGGTATGGAGGTCTCATTGGACCTTACTTCTTTGGAGACGCTGCAGCTAAATCCAACAATTTAACCTTGCAAAACATGTGTTTCCAGCAGGACGCAGCAACTTTGACAGCCAGGGAAACAATGAATCTTTTGCGAACAATATTTCCGGGACGTTCAATTTCTAGAATTGGTGATGTCAGCTTCTAGAGGCGGACATTAATTTGTCTCATATTATTTTTTATACATAATTTCTAAGTTTCAATAAAAGATTAAGATGAAAAAAAATGGACGTATTTTATTTCATTTTACAAACATTCAAGATACAAACCAGTCAGTTACATATCAGCCACCCTGTACTTCAAAAATTATCTATTAGCAATCCCTGAGCTACATGCAGGCCTACATTTCTAAATTTTAAAGTAATGACTGTCGTGTCATTATTAATTTTTGAAATAGCAATCTTGTTTTAACAAGTAGGCCTACATTTGAAACATTAATAGTAATAGTAATAGTAATATTTATTTGTCACCAAAATACACAACCATTACACAGAATTTTATAGAGGACAAATAAATGAAGAGCCCGCAGAAGGGTGGCCCTTGTGCGCGGGTAAAGGAAAACAGAAAATACTTATATACTAACGATGACGTAACACAATAAAATCCTTTTTTTTATTCTAATTAACAAGTGAGTGATGCATATGGATTTAATTGAGATTCCATATATGTAAGTGAAGTATGGATTGTGCTCATAGAATATGGTATATCAGAGGAAGTACTAACCACTAAAGGATAACCTGTGCGTGGCCATTACATCCAACTGGACCAAAACTAAACTCAAGGATTTTGAAATACAACACTACAGATAATTTAAAATGGGCCGCTAAGGCTTAATGACTTAACTAAACTAGCGGCTGTTCTATCTATATCTATTTTTTCGGTCAAATCACAGACCGCTAAGGCTAAATAGATCTACACAAAGTATAATATATGAAGGCTTAAAAAGTACTGGTTAGGAAATGGAAAATTTAATCTAAGAATGACCTACAACTTACAATGTATAGCTCGTGCCTTCTATGTACATATGGATTTTAACTCTTGGGACCACGTGCAGCCAGGCTTTTATTTGTTTTTTAAATGAGTTTAAATTATTTAGTTTTTTGTAAGACACTGGGATGGTATTGAAAATTCTTGGACAGAGAAAAATCCAGGACCTTTGTATGAGTGTTTTCTCCGGCTTTGGGACTACATTCTGAGACAGCATTTTCTGACGGGTGCCATAGCAGTGTTCAATTTGCTTCAATGAGGACCGATTTTTGTACTGAAAAGTAATGAGATTGTACATATATAACTGTCTGACATCAAAAACATTAGCCTCAGCAAACAACTCGTTGGAAGGATATGTCTTTCTTTTTTGGTATATCAGTTTAAGTATGTATTTTTGTACGCATTCGAGATTTCTGAGGTGACTTGAGGCCACAGCTCCCCATCCAATGATACCATAGTTTAAATGAGACTGAACAAGTGCAAAATATAATGTTTTTAAAGATTTCTCAGTCAGTAATCCTATTAGATGTTTAAAGTTTGGTAACAGCATTCTAATTTTTTTCACGGTGTATTCTATATGCTTCGTCCATTTCAAGTTTTCATTGAGGATAATGCCTAGATATTTTATGTCACTGGTTCGTTTGATAGTGATTGTGTTATTGGAACTTAGATTAATGTTTAGAGTGTCGTACTCTGGCAAGTGATTTTTGTAGGAAGCAAAGGGGACAAAGCTGGTTTTTTCGATATTCACGGTCAAAAGTTTACTGTTATAAAATTCAAGAATAGTTTTAAGATCATCCTCAATGAGTATTTTTAGTTTTGCCCAGTTAGCACCTTCATATATAACTACCGTATCATCCGCAAATCCCAAAATTGTTCCTTTGCTGTCCAATGAAAAAAGGTCATTTATGTAGATATTGAACAGTACCGGTCCTAAAACCGTCCCTTGGGGGACGCCATATTGTATTACCCCATAATCACTTGTTAGCTCGTTGATTCTAACACACTGTTTACGTTCTGATAGATAGCTAGTCATTAGTTGTAAGGTATTTCCCCTAATACCGTTATGTTCGAGTGATTCCAACAGCTTAGCGTGACTTACCGTGTCAAACGCCTTGGCTAGGTCCACAAATAAGCATACTGTTGGAATGTTTCCATCTATTAATTGGTATAGTTTCTTAGTTAGAGCCGCTATAGCATCCTGTGTAGAAATGTGCTCTCTAAAACCATGCTGATTGCTGTGAATGACATCGTACAAGGCGTCTTTTAAGTATCTTCTCTATAATCTTAGCAAGGCAAGAAATAATAAGTTACTATATTAGGCGGAAAGAAGATCTTAAATTAAAAGTACCTAAATTCAACTCACGTGAAAAATTCAGTTATTTGTGATGGTGTGGAAATGTATATGTGCCTTCCCAATGCTACAAAAAAAAAAAATAGTTCGCCGTGAACTCGATATATGTATTTGAGATCCACATATATTAATTTGTTATATTTTACATTTAAGTTATTAACCACTTAGGTACAGAATAGTACATGTGGTAAAAAAACAAAAAATCTATATAATATAAATAAAATGTATGAAAATATAAGTAAAAGTCAATATAAATACGTATAACAATTCATATAAATATATAAATGTTCAATTCCATCATTACATACTCAAGGTTGTACATTCCATATATATGATTTTTACTTACTTAATCGGTTCCTTTTCTACCGGATCTAGCCATTGTAGAAGCTACGATTTCTAAATCGAAAATAATGACTGATTTGCTGTATTTCAACGGTTAATTTATTGTATAATTTGATACAGTTATAGTGATTTTTTTAAATGTGTTGTGGTATGTGTATGGATGATTTTCAAATTTTGATTTCTAGTATTATAATTAGCTTTGTCCTTAAGAATAATTATATTCCAGAAAACAAAGTATATTTATCTATATATCTTATCTATTCCGGTGGCTAAAAAAGAATCTGCAAGACACTGACACCATTCACGAGACAGTAGCAGAATAAAAAAGAATGAATTTAAACATTGACTTTGAGGAGAGTTAGTGTTTGCTACTCTCTCATATATGGAGCTAATATCTTTCAGATCCCTCTTTGGATACCGGTATACAGTATATGGATGGTATATGGGTAGAATATGTTAATCATTGGTATTAAGTAGCTTTGATACGTTTTATCGATTTATTTGGTTGGCTGCATTTGACAGTCCACTATGGTCACATACTCCGCGTAGTAATTATACTGGGCTGCAAACTGAACTTGAGAGAGCATGTTGAATACAAGGTTAACAACACTATCAGAAATGGAGAAGAATCTTCAGACATCACCGTCAGGCACGAGAACTCATTGTAGGGCCCAGCGCTACGGATGGACGTTTCTGCTTATCTTTGGATATAGCCAACCTAAGGTTGCTGGTGGGACTCTTGTCTGACCATAACATGCTAAGGCGCCACCTGCACGTGATGGGGGTGTCTGAGGATCCCTTGTGTGAGAGCTGCGGAGCAGAGGGAGATACCTCGGCGCAAGTTCTGTGTCGCTGTGAATCTCTGAGCTACTACAGGCAGACTATACTCGGGTCCATTACTTTGGATCCTCAGGACGTCAATGAGCTTGGACTCAAGGCCATACTCAAATCCGCTAGAAAGGCGAGGCTTGAGGTCTAAGAAATGTAGAGGTGCGCAAGGGCCTGGTTAAGCGGCCTATGCACTGGCTCCTTATGGTGACCGGATTGCCTCTAATTTCACGATTAATTCATTCATTCATTCATACTGCGCGTTGAAAGAGCGTCCGTTATTTATCATAATGTTTTCCGCTGTAACTTTTTATTAAAATATTTATTGCTTAAATTATATTTTAAATCTTTGTTCACTGACTTACATATATTTTTGCAGGTTAACAAAAGATTCGTGATAAGCTACCTCCATGTTCATGGCAAGCTGATAACAAAAATCGGGTAAGTACAATGTGTCGTTTGTACAACCGCCTTGCAATGTATGTATGTAATTTGAAACTTACAGCGAGGAAAGGTTCAAAATTTTTGTCCTTTTTTCAGTATGGAGACCTTCCAAGAAACATCACTGCAGATGTTGCGAGAATTTCGTGCGCTTTTGCAACATTCACCGGTTCCTTTGCCATGCAATCGGTTTCTGCAGCTGCTAGCATTAAACATGTTTGCTATAGAAAGTACACAACTCAGAGGTAAGTGCCTGTATGACCAGATGCTTTGTTGTTCGCCCAAAATATTGTAGCACACTAGAAGTTCTCTGATGCGTCGGTTTCAAACGAGTATTGATTCTTGCACAATTGCCTTCTATTATACTAGTTTATTATGGATTCTTGCGATACGATATTCTATAGGAAAGGAATTACTGAAGAGTTAATTTAAGGATAACTCTTCGTCATTTTAGCAAGCTTATGGGATTTCATATAAATGACATAGTATGAGGATACATCTTATTACAATAGCATAAAGTGTATTTAGACTTGCGTGAATTTAACGCACGTAACAATAGATCATTTTTCCCTATATCTTTCAAATCCTTGGTGTAAACAGTCTGGAATCTGTTGGAAATTGTTTCTGTTATGTAGTTGAGTTATTTGTGAAGAAATATTGTAATGCCTTTGTGCGCTGGTGAATTATTTGAGGATTTAATTCATCATCGCACAAACGAAAGCATTATAATACATAGTTCTTTACGAATAACTGAATAAACAACTTCCAATAGTTTCCCGGCTACTTACACCAATTATTTAGGAGATATAAGCAAAAATAATGGAGCGAATTTACATTACACTACGAGGTTTTTCCGGAAAATACGTATAAGAAATGTCAAGGCGTTGTGGAGGGGTAGCCCGGTGGTCCCCTCTCTCTATGCAATCCCATCTATGCTTAGTTCGAGCCGGAGCGCTCTGCGACTAAGTAGGATTTACGTGTGCTTGTTGAAAGTAACCCTTTTTTTTCAACATCAAATTTCTTGCAAAGCTAGACAAGAATGGTCCTGAGATTTTTGAGTTTGGAACAAGTTTACGAAGGAACCAACCGTCAACAAGTGGTTGAAAAGGTTTCAGGAAGGCCGAGATGTGAAAAATGACCAACGCTCAGGACGCCCCCCCACATCGAGCTCTGATAGAAATGTTGAACCAAACCGGAGCTGTGCTCTTAAAGACCGTCGATTGACAGAATGATAGCTGAGGAACTGTCAATCGCCAAAACAATCCTCCACGAAATTCTGACAGAAAAAGTTGAAATGAAAAAATTGTGCGCGAAAATCGTTCTGAAGCTCTTGACTCCAGAACAGAAAGCAAGGAGAGTTGCTTGCTGTGAGGATTGATTGGAAGCAGAGGAAAGGGGGACTTTCTCAACCTGGTCATCACTGGAGACAAGTTTGGGTCTACGAATTCAATATGGAGCTGAAGTCTCAAAGCAAGCAGGGGAACAGAGGGCAAAAAAGTCGAAAAGGCTAGACAGTGAACGGAAATTTCTACATTGAAGTTTTACGTCGTCTCAGAGCTCGTGTAGCCAGAGTTCGACCGGATTTGGCTCTCGTTGTGAGCTTTTGGTTCGAAGCTCAATCACCGTGACAGGTCACCCGCTTTATCCACTCGATTTGGCCCCTTGTGACTTCCTGTTTCCAAAATTCAAAATGGTGCTTCAGAAACGACACGGCAAATAAATAGTCTCACAATTGTAGACTTTCAGCGATCGTATCAACTGTGGAAACGGCGTTGGCAAAAGTGCATTTTGTATCAGGGGGAGAATTTTGAAGGAGGCCATATTGAAATACCTGAACAATTGTAAAATATGGGTATTATTCCCCCTTTATATGTATTTTCCGGACAAACCTAGTAAATGGCAATCTGTTTGTGTTTGTCCTCTAACCAATAGGAGGACCTGTCAAAGACACCTGTTTGAATATGATCTATTGAGTGAAATACAAGATCGTGAGGAATTTTCAATGTTTAGAAGGTGTCTTTTTACTTGCTATGCCACTGGCGAGGAAGCATTGTAACCGCGAAAAATTTCTAAACTGAATATGTTTTTTGGATGATCTACATCAAGAACAAACTTGCCATCGTCTGTCACTAATCCTTGTCCCGTATCGGGCGGAGAAAAAGCTTTGTAGTTTTTGGAAATCGATCCAGTGGCGGCGGAGTTAGGGGCAAATAATTAAGATAAATAAAAATCGCCCATACTTTTTCTTGACGATTCAGAGCATTCTGATCATCTGACGAGAATCACGGGGAGGTGGGGGGCAGGGGGAATGAGCTCGAATATTTATACTCGGGGATTCTTGAGGTATTAGGAGTGGATAAAATTTGATAGATATATATTTCGGTAGATAAAAATAACTCTCATTGGCGTAATACTATAAGGAAATGTCATCAAGTAGATTGATTCAGTACTTCTCATGCATTTATATACATACAACCGTTTTCAAACTCCTTTTACCTATGTATACAATCTGGTTTTTTGAAAGTTTGTCGGAGGTGCACCATAATATAGTTATAGTTTTTGATGACTCCTAATACATCCATGCCATGATTCAAATACTTAAGCAATTATAATCTTTTAAAACGGTGAAAACACAATTTGGTAATTTTTCAAAACCTTAAATCCGCCAAGAAATTTGTTCGCGCCCAAAAGTAGCAGAAACTTGGGGGACATGCTAAAACGTAGTTTGTAGATGGTTTGATGCTGTTTTCTGTTCATTACTCCTCCGCTTGTGAAATAGTACCGGCTTCTGTGGCATTACGAAATATGGCTTCCCTTCATTAAAATCGGTGCAGGCATTTCAGAAACAAGATCACTGACAGACGCAGACAGACTGACAAACCGACGAAAATGAGTGACACGGATTTGTGTGATGCAGATGTATTCATCCAACAAAAATTTGTTTAAGGAAGCTCGATTGTTTTTGCGATTGCAATAATTTCATTGTTTATGATGTCAACTAAATTGACTTTGTACCTCGCATGCATTCATATGGCTTGGTTACACTTAGCGAGTAGTGGCGAGACACCTGTATGCTACTTGGCTGGGAGAGATCTGGGTTAGGTCTGTCCGTTTGTTCCTTAATATTTAGCCCCTCTATAACTCGATGAGTACCGCTTTTATGATATTTTGATAAAATGTGACTACTATGATAAGAACGAAAAAGGAGGTAGAACTAGTTTTTGAAAATTGATTTTGTGTTGGCGTAGCAACTGCAAAAAAGGAAGTAACTAAAACTAACTTCAGACCTTTCTGCTCTTCCCGCTCAATTTCAGAAGGGTTTTGAACGGATTGTGTGTTGGAATCGTTAGGGGCTGAGTAATTGTAAATTGTTGCAACTTTGTTATCAGTGGAAGATCTGTGATTATGAAGCTGCCGATCGCGTTAGTAGTATGCACCTGTTAGACATGATAAATTTACTTTATACTTTTTGATATATGTATATTTACAATATATCGGACTTGAGTGGACATATCTAGTTAAGGTTCGATTCCGTCTTTACTTTGAAATAAGCACATTTTAAATCAAGACGTGGAAAGTATAGAGGCAATCTGCTTGATGTCATATTTTGTTATGCTTATGTGACAGTCGTCGTTACTGTTGTTTTTCAGTTTGAACTGATTTTTTAATGCCTTCCGAATATACTGTGTTAAAAATATGAGTAAACCTTGTCATGCTTTTTTTGGAAAAACATAAGTCAATGTGTTTCCCGTATTTTGCAACACAAACTGCTGAAGCATTACTCGAAAGGTAAATAATAATCATAATACGGTACTCGAGTTTAGGCAATAAGTCCTGTCTTACGGCGTTGCATATACATAAATATCTATGCGTAGATCTTGATCTGGAATCTAAGATGCGCTGCTGCTGGTAGGGATCGTGACTGGCAAGGAAACAAAACGGCAGCAGTGGTGCCAATTCGGCCATTTTGTGACTAGGTTTAGCTATTTTTCTTTCTTGCTTAGCTTATAAAATTACCGTTTATCACTGTATAGCTTGTATTTTGTGAGGTTGTAAATCTCTGTGTCTTATCTCGGAATCATTGGTACGTTCTTGGAATATTAACGGAAACTTGTAGCCCACTAGTAAACTCAGACACTTTACAGACACGTCTGGCTTAGCTGTAAAGTCTAATACGTCACTTCTTGAGTCGATGTGTCGTTTAACTGTCGGTACACACTGACGTTAATTTGTCGCGCAGCAAAATGAGTGCGCGATTACCATTACATTGATGCAGATGGAAGTCACTCTGTCGACGTGCGTTCCATGGAATGCGTGTTTTGTAGCACGTCGTATTGGGTGTCCCCGGTGTATCGATTTCTTTCACTATTTACTGGGTGCATCCACCGTTTTCTTATTGATATTTTAGACAATTGAAATTTCAACTAGAAGGCAGGCTACCGTGCTCTGACTGATGTGTATTAATTCAACGCGCGTCGAAGCTCGTCTCGGGTGAACATCAAAGTAGTGCATGTATTTTACTTGACTCAAAACTAAAATTCCCCAACCTGGCTAGGCGGGCCATGGCTCAGATTGACCGTAATTTTCTTTCCTGGAGAGTACATATGAAGGTATGAGGCTTTGTGGAATTTCAGGGTCCTAGGTCGAATGGATCGGTCGGGAGACTCGCTCAAGGTTTTAAGGTTCGGCAAAAATTTGAAGTTTAGCGTTTTGGCAACTTTTTCATTTCTCGCTGCTCCTATCATTGGGCCCCAAAATGTATGGGTATTCCGAATTAAGAATATCCAACAAAGGCAGAAGTAATTCTTTCCGACATTTTTCATTGTGTTATGCTGATAATATAACTCGAATGCCTTCCGAAACAAAAAATTAGAAAAATTATTTTTGTTTCGTAAAGAAAAAGAAACAACGTATCGCTCGATTTTCGATATTTTGGCAAATGGATGTTATTGGATATTGAGCTAATTATAGAGGTTAGCGGTCTTATAAATACATCAACACGTTTCTTAATGCCAATCGGCTAACACAGCTTTTAAGAGATATCAAATAACTCAAAATTGGACAGTGGCACCCAAATTTTGTGAACTACATGTAACATTTACTTATATTTCGCAACTTTCTCCTCATTTAACCAAAATTGCAGCTCTAACCATTTTTTGGAATCCCGTTCGTCCTCTTCGACGCACTGTATACTGGACTAATGTTTTTGTGCAAACATTTCTACTGCGCTCGCCAATTTAAGTTT